ACTTTAAAGAGTCCGCTCCTGCTGATGTTTTTCAGGTGTGGTATTCATCAGTATGCAGTGTCCTCTACTTTTAAAGAGTCCTCTCCTGATGATGTTCAGGTGTATATCAGTATTGTAGTGTCTCTACTTTAAAGAGTCCTCTCCTGCTGATGTTTCAGGGGTATATCAGTATGTAGTTTTCTCTACTTGAAAGAAGTCCTCTCCTGCTGATGTTCAGGTGTATATCAGTATGTAGTGTTTCTACTTTAAAGAGTCCTCTCCTGCTTGATGTTCAGGTGTATATCAGTATGTAGTGTCCTACTTTAAAGAGTCCTCTCCTGCTGATGTTCAGGTGTATATCAGTATGTAGTGTCTCTACTTTAAAGAGTCCTCTCCTGCTGATGTTCAGGTGTATATCAGTATGTAGTGTCTACTTAAAGAGTCCTCTCCTGCTGATGTTCAGGTGTATATCAGTATGTAGTGTCTCTACTTTAAAGAGTCCTCTCCTGCTGATGTTCAGGTGTATATCAGTATGTAGTGTCTCTACTTTAAAGAGTCCTCTCCTGCTGATGTTCAGGTGTATATCAGTATGTAGTGTCTCTACTTTAAAGAGTCCTCTCCTGCTGATGTTCAGGTGTATATCAGTATGTAGTGTATCTACTTTAAAGAGTCCTCTCCTGATGATGTCCAGGTGCCTGCCTCACCTCCCAGAGTCCCAGGATGTTTGGAGAACCTTCCTCTGGCTCCAGCTTCAGCCCCGTTTCCTCCTGTAACTCCCTGAGACCGGCGTCCAGCAGCTGCACACATTCATCTGACATTAACCACACTTTGAATTCAGCGAAGAAGAAGAAGAAGAACTACGCAGAAGTCATATCAAATCATGTTCATAAAGAGATGATTCACCGTCTCATCCAGCTCCAGATGGCCTCCTATAAAAAAAAAAACACACGTTAAAATAAAACAAAAAAACCACAAATATAAATGAGATGGGTGTGAAAGTGCTAACTTTGAAGTACTGCACTATAGAGCTGAAGAGAAATTAAAAGCAGAATTTAAATCCTGCTTCACTACATTTCCCATGATGCACTTGGCCCTGTAACAGATGAGTGTGAGACCTGGAGGAACCCAGATGTTGGGAAATATCCGGAGCTCCTTCGCACGCCGTGTCAACAACACCTTCTGATTGGCTGTCTGCAGGATGGTGGCCACGCCCACGTCCACTCCTCGCTGCTGAACGTCCAATGGGAGCGCAGCATTCTCTGTGACGGACAGGTGCTTGATGGGGCAGAAGGCGTGCCTCTGGGAGGGAAAGGACAACAGGGTGGTTAGAGATGGAGGGGTAATTATTAAAGATAGAGGGGGAAAGGACAAAAAGAGTGATGCGTATGAGAGGGGCGAAATATTAAACAAGGAATAAACAATAAAGACAAAATGAGGGACACAATTACAAAAGGAGGGGTAATATTAAAGATAAAGTAGTAAAATGACAGATAGAGGGCTAAATATGAAAGTAAAAGGTCAAATGAATTGTCATGGTTTGTATTTAACATGTGGCGTGTCTGACCTTCAGAGTGACCCCCCGCCCTGCGTCTGCTCGCTGAAGAATGAACCGGTTTCTCTCCAGAGAGCAGCCGACCTCCACCTCGTCCTCTCCACCCTCACTGAAGTGACCCGTTATACTCTGCAAACACATGAAGAACAAATCTAAAGTGTAACCCTACATGTAGCCTTACCTGGTGGTGGGCGGTCTATAATGCACACGCTGGGTTGAGCATCTACGGTGTCTATATCTACATTTCTAAAAAGGTATCCCTAAACCCATAATAAAAGGTATTGGTTTGAGCAAACTCTCTAAGCAGAGTTTAGACCTCCAGCCAGCACGATAAGACACAGGACAACGAGTTAGAACGAATATGGAATGATTGTCAGGGTTTAGTTTAACCCGGGTAACAGGGGCCTCAAACTAGAATGCAGGTTTCCCCGTAGAATATAAAAGTGATGCCAGAAAACAATATTTCTGTTGGTCAAAAACGGTATAATTAGTCCAGAGATATGAGTATCACACAGAGCGTCAGGCGGCAGAGACAGCTTTGCTTTACAGAGAATAATTATGGGATGGATGTCCGGTGGGTCTGACACTGAAACTGAGATTTCTGAGTTTTCTTTCACCGTCTTTTTTCCGTAGAGGAAGTAAAGAAACCTCTGGATTTATGTGTTGTTTGAGGTGCAATATATGACTCAGCAGCTTTAAGACACAAAGACACATTATTTCCAGCTTCGCTCTGATGCAGTATTTTCACAGGAAAGTGGGCGGGGCTGTAGTTTTGGCCAGAAGTGACGTCAGCGCCCTCATACTATATCTTTCTAGAAAAACCCTGATTTTATTCATATTTATAACATATAGATCAGAGGATATCAAATGCATAAAAAATAAATAAATTATATCCGACAAGAGACTAAAAACGTCTTCAAAAATAAATCAGTTCTGTTAAAGTCTCAGTTTCCAACATCCCAGAACGGTTACAGTCTGATTTATGAATCTAAACTATTACACAATAATCAAATAATTAGTATTTAGTTATAAGTTTTAATAGCATAATATCCTCAAAATTACAAAATGAAGTAAGGTTTTGTTGAGGCTGAACTGGAATTTCCTACATCAAAAAGTCACTTGAACGCCTCACGGTTACGGTCAGTTGGTGGGGGCACAACTAGCTGCTACTAGCTGCTGCTAGCTGCTGCTAGCTGCTACTAGCTGCTGCTAGCTGCTACTAGCTGCTGCTAGCTGCTACTAGCTGCTGCTAGCTGCTACTAGCTGCTGCTAGCTGCTACTAGCTGCTACTAGCTGCTGCTAACTGCTACTAGCTGCTGCTAGCTGCTACTAGCTGCTGCTAGCTGCTACTAGCTGCTGCTAGCTGCTACTAGCTGCTACTAGCTGCTGCTAGCTGCTACTAGCTGCTGCTAGCTGCTACTAGCTGCAGTTAGCAGCTGCTAGCTGCTGCTAGCTGCTGCTAACTGCTACTAGCTGCTGCTAGCTGCTACTAGCTGCTGCTAGCTGCTACTAGCTGCTACTAGCTGCTGCTAACTGCTACTAGCTGCTGCTAGCTGCTACTAGCTGCTGATAGCTGCTGCTAGCTGCTACTAGCTGCTGCTAGCCTTTTGTTGAAAGATAACACATTTGATTGGTAATAAGCATTAGTGACGGATTCATCAGCCAATCAGATGTTGATGTTCAATGACAGTGTCATGAGCTAAACTTCTGTCATGAGCTTCCTCCGTAGCATCGACCTTATTTACAAGTGACTGGTGAGCACGTTACTATTCACGTCATTTTAGAGCGACGTGAGAGTGCACAATGACACAAGTCTAATAATAGATTACTTCATTGATCAATGTTGGGACATTTCGTCTGCTTTTAACCCTTATCTAGCTGACTGTTGTGATTGTTGATCAGCTGTTGTGATTGTTGATCAGCTGTTGTGATTGTTGATCAGCTGTTGTGATTGTTGATCAGCTGTTGTGATTGTTGATCAGCTGTTGTGATTGTTGATGTGCCATCCGACCTCTGCAGCTCATCCAGAATGCAGCGGCTCGCCTGGTCTTCAACCTTCCTAAATTCTCCCACACCACTCCGCTCCTCCGCTCCCTTCACTGGCTTCCAGTAACTGCTAGAATCCACTTCAAGACACTGGTACTTGCTTACCATGCTGCGAATGGATCTGGCCCTTCCTACATCCAGGACATGGTTAAACCGTACACCCCAGCGCGTGCACTCCGCTCTGCATCAGCCAAACGACTCGTTGCGCCCTCGCTGCGAGGGGGACCCAAGTTCCCATCAGCGAAAACACGTGGGTTTGCTGTCCTGGCTCCAAGATGGTGGAATGAGCTCCCCATTGACATCAGGACAGCAGATAGCTTGCACACCTTCCGGCGCAGACTGAAAACTCATCTCTTTCGACTCCACTTCGAGCGATAGAACTATTAACGAAGCACTTATATACTAATAAAGGGCTGGCTTACCTAAAGCCAGTTGAGTAGCACTTGAAATGTTTGGCTCTATGAAACCTGATGTACTTATATGATTCTGTTTTCTTCAAGGTTGTGTCTTCCTGGTCGAATGTACTTATTGTAAGTCGCTTTGGATAAAAGCGTCAGCTAAATGCAATGTAATGTAATGTAATGTAATGTAATGTAATGTTGATCAGCTGTCGTAGTGTTGAGAGACTGTTTGGCATAATGTGTGCATCATTTGATTACGGCTGCGTTGGCTGGAACAGAGACGTATTAAATGTGTGTGTGCTTCTCAATGGTTTACTGGCGGCCCTCTAAAGCCCCACGGTACACCACTGATGAATACACACACACTACATCTTTGTCGTTTTGCACAATCTACATTGACATTTAACTGTATTGCATTTCCACATTGCATCGTCTTTGCTGCTACCTCTGCTTTCATTTATGTGTGACTATGTTTATTACTGCAGTGATGACGGTGAAGCTGTATTCTGTGAGCGTTGCTGACCTGCACAAAGTGCGCTGGTTGAGCCGCTCCGTCCTGACAGAAGTGAACCAGGACCCTCCTCACTCGCTCCATGCTGCACCCGCTGAGACCTGCATTCATATTGCATTTCATGGCGTTTCAGATTCACTCATTTCACTGACAAATATTTGTATTTGAAATACACAAGGAGAAATACAAATAATCATTTCTTAGGGTTATGGAAATTGTGTAAAAAGTTTGGAAGTTTAATTAAAGCCAATAATAAATAACTATGACAAGAAATAAGTTAATTTAGTGTGTTTAACTATTTCAGGATTATTTCATATATTATTTTACTATCGGCTTAAATGGAATTTTGACTAAAGAGTGAATCTAATGAACATTTTACTAAAGTACCAGATCTGAGTACTTCTACTTTTACTCAAGTACAAGACCTGAGTACTTCTACTTTAACTCAAGTACAATATCTGAGTACTTCTACTTTTACTCAAGTACCAGATCTGAGTACTTCTCCTCCTCTAACTGAACAGTAAACATCAACAGCTAACTTTAGCTAACCCTAAACAGAGCTAACTTTAGCTAACCCTAAACAGAGCTAACTTTAGCTAACCCTAAACAGAGCTAACTTTAGCTAACCCTAAACAGAGCTAACTTTAGCTAACCCTAAACAGAGCTAACTTTAGCTAACCCTAAACAGAGCTAACTTTAGCTAACCCTAAACAGAGCTAACTTAGCTAACCCTAAACAGAGCTAACTTTAGCTAACCCTAAACAGAGCTAACTTTAGCTAACCCTAAACAGAGCTAACTTTAGCTAACCCTAAACAGAGCTAACTTTAGCTAACCCTAAACAGAGCTAACTTTAGCTAACCCTAAACAGAGCTAACTTAGCTAACCCTAAACAGAGCTAACTTTAGCTAACCCTAAACAGAGCTAACTTAGCTAACCCTAAACAGAGCTAACTTTAGCTAACCCTAAACAGAGCTAACTTAGCTAACCCTAAACAGAGCTAACTTAGCTAACCCTAAACAGAGCTAACTTAGCTAACCCTAAACAGAGCTAACTTAGCTAACCCTAAACAGAGCTAACTTAGCTAACCCTAAACAGAGCTAACTTTAGCTAACCCTAAACAGAGCTAACTTAGCTAACCCTAAACAGAGCTAACTTAGCTAACCCTAAACAGAGCTAACTTTAGCTAACCCTAAACAGAGCTAACTTTAGCTAACCCTAAACAGAGCTAACTTTAGCTCACCCTAAACAGAGCTAACTTAGCTAACCCTAAACAGAGCTAACTTTAGCTAACCCTAAACAGAGCTAACTTAGCTAACCCTAAACAGAGCTAACTTTAGCTAACCCTAAACAGAGCTAACTTAGCTAACCCTAAACAGAGCTAACTTAGCTAACCCTAAACCCCGTTTATCTACATTCCACGGGGATATAACTCCACAAAGAGAGGGTATCTTTAATAAACATTTACAGAACACATTCCAGCTAAAACGATAGGAATAAACTCTTCAGAAACACATGAGAAAGAGAACAAACCTGCTGACAGAGAGGAGACACAGCTAGCTGCTTAGCTACATCCGGGTAACACCTACAAAATAAGAGCACTCTGCGTCCTTGCATGACTGGTTCCTGAAAGAGACAGTCACCTCCTGACCTGAGAACGACTCTGGAATTATAACAACACATATTCTACTAGTGTTTTTAATGATATAATCACAGATATAAAAACACATTTATAATCCAAAGATCCTCAAACCTGCATTTTTTAAATTTAAATAATTTGATGATGAAATAAAGTGTAGAAGAAATAGAGGAGATAAAAACACGTCAACGTTTAAAAACGGCAGATGTTTCAGATATCAGTAAAACACAAAGGACGCACAGTTAGAATAACACAAGTGGCGGGACAAAGAGAAACAATGAAAAGAAAACAATGATTTTTACATTTTTAATTTGCGACGGGAGGGGGAAGTGGTTTTAAAGACAATTAACTGAAACAATAATAAGATCTTATTATTAAATTATGAAAATTATTAAAATGTTCACGTCTTTCTTCCATTCCCAGCAGCGTGCATTCTGTTTAAATCTACACTCATATATTCACTGTGTTCAGAACATTAAAACATAAGAGACAGGATTTAATATTCAGCTCGATCCCTGATCCAATACACAGAACATCAACAGGTATTAACACAAAACATCCACGATAAAGAGTGGAGGGATTCAAGATGCATTTAAACATTAACATTTCTACTTGAAAAACACTAAATATATGACGTCTCTTCACCTAAAGACGTCTTCTTCCAGATGTTCCTCTATTTATCTGGCTCATCCAGCCCCTTCACTTTCCCCTTTATTCATGCATTTAACTTAAGACAATGAAACCTAGAACATTTAAGGTAAATATCCAGTTTTTGTTCACATTGCAAAATAAATAAAAAATGTCCACGCTATTTAAAGATCAGATTTAAAACTACGGTATGTCAAAGATATTGAAATCCAGCTATTTTAAATCATGGGTTATACCAGTGACCAGAGCCATATGATAGAAGAGTTACGACATCTCCGTTCACTCCAATGGACCAGTTTTTTACAGCAATGACGGATCGTGGAGCGGCTAGCAGCGCACTAGAGTTGCAGCATAATAGACAGTTCGTGATGGACTTTTAAAGCTAAGAAGACGTTTAAAGATTTATATTGCGGATATTATCAGAACATCTGAATCAAATTAACTACATGTGTACTATGTGTATTACAGGATGTTAGTGGGTTATCCCTTAAATCAGTATATTTAACGTTTACAGATAACAGATTAGGCTAGAATGCCGGATAAAGTTAGCAACACACGTTAACCACGAACAGCCTATTAATCCGTTCTCCTAATGTTATTTCCTCCAACGTTGTGGGATTAAAAGGGGCTTCTTAACGTGCTTGTATCCGGGGTGGAGGGAGTTAAATATTAGTTAAATATAACATTGGGGCGTGTGATTGTAGTGGGTGGAGGTGGTGAAATGAGGTTATCCATTTTGGAGTTCAAGCTAGTATAATATAGTTAACGAACGTTACACAATAATAAGGAAGAGAGCTATGTGTGTGATACATCGCTATTGATATGAATTTAGAGTGCATATTTGAGACTTCCAAACAGTAAACAAAAACGAGTGTTTTTAGCAGAGCCATATAATGTCCTTGTGATTCTGTTGATTATTACCTGTCTGTATTATGTTGCAGCTCAGCTGATGTTGGATTGATGGCAAGGGGAGAGGGACTTAAGTGAGAGTGAAAACACAAGGTACGTTTAAAATAGGTCAGCAATTTCCCATCCTATAGGTTGCTAGATGTATCTAACCCTTTCTCCTGTCTCCCTCTCTCAGCACAAGAACCCCAGGGGGATTCAATAGAGCCTGAAGACCTGCAATGAGACCCTCACCCTGCGCCTGAGTCTCACCTCCCAGAGTTCTGCAAGCCTCTCCCTGTTCCTTATTTTGATTAAACAGACATTAAGCTTCCCAATGGTGTGGTCTTCGTTTTGTGAAAAATATGATTACCTCACATATGTTGTTGCTGTTGTTGTCTTTTGTGATAGTTAAATTGCTCCTGCTGACGTGAGCCAGCCTTTCTTTCCTCCTCTCTGTGTCAGTGGGGAAGCCGTACATTCATACTCCTTTCTCTGAGTGATTGGAGCATCCCCCGGCAGCACAGTAAACCATGGGGGAGACGATATGCCAGGACAACACAGAGGAAAAGGCACAGACAAACGGCATGACATGCTATTCAATGTTAATTGAACAGCATTAGGGACGGGTGGCGCAGTGGTCTGTGCATCTGATCATCAGATCAAGGGGGGTGCTTGGGAACTCCAGTTCGAAACCCGCAACTGCGTCAGGCCGTTGTGTCCTTGGGCAAGACACTTCACCCGGATTTGCTCCTGTGGGTATTGTCCACAGCACATGTATAATATCAATGTGTACTTGTAAAAGCGCCTCGATGACCTCGAGGCGTGAAGATGGACGGTGTGGCGCAGTGCGCTGTGCAATGATCATCAGATCAAGGGGTGAAACCCCGCTGCTGCGTCTGTAAAGCCGTTGTGTCCTTGGGCAAGACACTTCACCTGAACTTGCTCCTGTGGGTATTGTCCACAGTGACCATTGCATGTATACAAAAAAAAATATGTGTAATGTGTATTTGTAAAGCGCTTTGAGCATCTGGAAATGCGCTATAATAAATGTAAGGAATTATTATAATTATTATTGAATTCCATTTATTTACATGGATGTTCCAAAAACAACACATTTAACATCATCATCATCATCATCATCATCATCATCATCATCATCATGCTGCTGCTGCTTGTCCTTTGTCTCATTGTGCTGTCAGTTGACCATCATTGATAGGCACCTGTGGGTCTCCTGTCCTTTCTGAAAGTCATAAAGATTACATTAGTCATTTAGATTACTTATGACCTCAAATACCATGGGATTACTGAAACCACCATGAATTAAAGAAATGGTAGAAATGTATCTAATCAGAATGTTGAAACCTTTCTTCCCTCCCTCTAAATATATCAAACATTAGGATGTGATGCTCCTGACTACCATACAGGTTTAAGAAGATAATATTTGTTTTAAAGAATTCAAAGCAATAAACAACAGGCTCTGTAACCAAGGCAACGTTAGCCTAACATGTATGTTAACAGGTAAAATAACTGTTCACACTGTATATTTTCTATTTTATTTCTATTTGAGATGTTTACATTTTCGATTGTTTAATTCTAGTCTTTTAACTGTCTTATGTACAATGCCTCCTTGTCTTTTGCTGCTGCAAAGCAAACATTTCCCAAATTGGTATTGATAAAGTACTTCTTATTTTATCTTAATCCTCAAATATTAGCAAATTTAACTTTTTCAAATATTGATGTAACTACATACACATCGATATGTTGTATAAATATAGCAAATCAAAGCCGTTATTCACTACTTATTACCAAAAATCGTAGTTCTATCTCCGGTAATCATGCATTCAAATGTCCCCCCACGAACTTCCGGGGAACTATTGAGTCTCCCTGAACCACGTGACGATCAAGCATTTTGGACTTCCGTTGTCGTAACTCTTCTCTCTATATGGCGCTGCCAGTGACCACCAACTGGCGGCCCGCGGGCCACATCCGGCTCGCCAGACATTCTCATCCGGCCCGCACGACGGGAAGATTGTATATCAGTATGTAGTGTCTCTACTTTAAAGAGTTCTCTCCTGCTGATGTTCAGGTGCATATCAGTATGTAGTGTCTCTACTTTAAAGAGTCCTCTCCTGCTGATGTTCAGGTGTATATCAGTATGTAGTGTCTCTACTTTAAAGAGTCCTCTCCTGCTGATGTTCAGGTGTATATCAGTATGTAGTGTCTCTACTTTAAAGAGTTCTCTCCTGCTGATGTTCAGGTGTATATCAGTATGTAGTGTCTCTACTTTAAAGAGTCCTCTCCTGCTGATGTTCAGGTGTATATCAGTATGTAGTGTCTCTACTTTAAAGAGTCCTCTCCTGCTGATGTTCAGGTGTATATCAGTATGTAGTGTCTCTACTTTAAAGAGTCCTCTCCTGCTGATGTTCAGGTACATATCAGTATGTAGTGTCTCTACTTTAAAGAGTCCTCTCCTGCTGATGTTCAGGTGTATATCAGTATGTAGTGTCTCTACTTTAAAGAGTCCTCTCCTGCTGGTGTTCAGGTGTATATCAGTATGCAGTGTCTCTACTTTAAAGAGTCCTCTCCTGCTGATGTTCAGGTGTATATCAGTATGTAGTGTCTCTACTTTAAAGAGTCCTCTCCTGCTGATGTTCAGGAGTATATCAGTATGTAGTGTCTCTACTTTAAAGAGTCCTCTCCTGCTGATGTTCAGGTGTATATCAGTATGTAGTGTCTCTACTTTAAAGAGTCCTCTCCTGCTGATGTTCAGGTGTATATCAGTATGTAGTGTCTCTACTTTAAAGAGTCCTCTCCTGCTGATGTTCAGTGTATATCAGTATGTAGTGTCTCTACTTTAAAGAGTCCTCTCCTGCTGATGTTCAGGTGTATATCAGTATGCAGTGTCTCTACTTTAAAGAGTCCTCTCCTGCTGATGTTCAGGTGTATATCAGTATGTAGTGTCTCTACTTTAAAGAGTCCTCTCCTGCTGATGTTCAGTGTATATCAGTATGTAGTGTCTCTACTTTAAAGAGTCCTCTCCTGCTGATGTTCAGGTGTATATCAGTATGTAGTGTCTCTACTTTAAAGAGTCCTCTCCTGCTGATGTTCAGGTGTATATCAGTATGTAGTGTCTCCATGCTTTAATGTTCAAAAAGCTCTTTCTTTTTTCTCATACTGCCCTGTGCTGCAGCATCTCTTTTCACCCTCTGTCTGAAACCAGAGCCCAGTCTGCTCTGATTGGTTAGCTGGTCGGCTTTGTTGTGATTGGTCGACCGCTCAAAGATGTCCTGCCCCTTAGCCTATCACATACCTATGTGTTGGAGCGCTCGATTCCATAATGAGAACACTATGTCCCGTAAGTAATCAAAGGAGTCCAATGGAGGCGTTTCAGGCGGGGGGATTTAGCCTCTGCAGACCATTGACATGC